TCTTGCCCACCAAGTCAAATCTAATGATAAGGAAAGAGATTATAGCAATTATTGGGATAAGAAAAAAGATTATATCAAATCATAAAAGACCAAATCAATTGATGTCTTCTTCTCTAAGACTCTCCTACACCTCAAAATATAAAACACATCTCAAAAATGAAAGTCTCAAATTCAAGAGCTCTCAAGAATCCTCTTGAAGATTTGAAAAAGTTCTTGAAAAACCGCCGGAAGTCTGTTCAATGAAGAAGAAGGCCAAGAAGAAGAAAATGAGAGGGCGACTCTTCCCCAAGAAGTAAAGAGACGACTTCAACTCCTCTCAAATCAATCCAACAATCAACGACGTTCAAGCGACATTCAAGCTGTGTTCGTTGAGAAGATTAACCAACATAGTGTTTGACCTGGAAAAAAGCTATCAAACCCTCAAGTCAACGTTATTCAAGTCAAAATCCACATCCTATGAAGATCAGAGAAGCAAGTCTTTCAAAAAGTCGTCTTCAATCAAATCAAGCCCTAACATTTAATGCGGGAATAGTCATTCGACCCCTAAATTAATGTTAGAGGAATTCAAGATCAAGCCCAAAGAAAATCAAGTCCAAATCCATATTTGAAGATCAAATCCAAGTCAACGAAGAGAGGAATCATAGAAGATAAATAGATATTGTACCCGCAATATTATGTGATCGAAATAAAATCAAGTTGTACAGAAGTTTTATGTTTTTCATAAAATTTCTAGTTACAGTTACAATATGTCGCCGTATGTGGAAACTTTTTTTTTGAAAAGTGGTATGCTGAGGTTGTTTGAGCTTGGTGGCTATGGCGGATGAAATTCTCAGAATCAATTTGCAGCCGTCGTTCGATGAAGCTTAGACGTCGACGAGGCCGTTCGGGGAAGGCCCTCCTCCAGGTTTATCTGGACCTTTGCATACACCAGCGACCCCAGCAAATGCTCCTCAAGGTTTGGGAGCTTCATCGGTGGTTCCAATGGTGAATATAGGCTCAAGTCGTACGTAGGAGGCTCGAGCAACGCAGACAACATCGATTCTAGCACCAATGCAACCAGATCTTACTGGAGTTCAGCCGTTAGGAGCGGTGGTGCAGGTAGTCGCACACCAAGAGGAGAGGAGCAATGCTCTGGTCAGCAGGTGGTGATGATCAGGCTTGAGATGGAGTATGTGGTGGCAAACGCAGCTGCGCAGACGGTGCAGCAAGTGATGAACAACACTTCTCGCGCTGTGACCGCACCGACAACGGTAATAGGTGTACATCACAACGCGGAGGAAGATGTATCCAATTATGGAGGAGATGGAGCCCCGCGGGATCAAGAAATGGATATGATTGCTGAGCAGCTGCGACAGCTGCAAGACAAGAAGGCAAAGAAAGAATGAGTCGTTGCGAAAGCATGTTGCTCGATACAATCAGACGTGCTTGGAGATCCCGACGGCTTCAGATGAGGTTAAGGAGGGATGATTGATAAGGAGTTTACGAGCGTGGCCATGTCGAGCTTATTTGGCTAAAACCCATGCTCGTACTTACGATGAGGTGTTGAAGGGGTACAAAAAGTATATCAATCTCGAGGAGACGGAGACAGAGTTTACTAAGTTGGAGGAGATGACTCGCCCAGAGGCAAAGAAGGGAAAGGCGATTTCGGCCAAGAGAGGATCGCTGAGGAGAGGATCGCCCAGGAGAGAGGGGCGTGGTAGGCAGGACCGGGGGCGTGAGGATAGGTGGAAGAATCGACCCCTGCAATTGTCTAGTTAGTTTTCTTTCCTTGTTACAGCACTCTACAAGAGCTGACGAATAAAACAATGATTGTTTTTGCTGAAACTAAGGATGGACTCTACCATCTGAAACTTGATTGTAACTATTTCTACGTTTGATACTACTGTTTGACACAATAGATTTGGGCATCTTTTTTTTTTTTTTTCAAAAACTTGTTCAGCTTCATGGTTCTATAAATAAAAATGTTTCTACAGTTCATAAATCTTATTCTCTGAATAACTCTATTGCATCTTCACCTTTTGAACTTGTTCACTGTAATATATGGGGACCTTTCTCACTCCCTTCTTAAGTTGGTCATAAGTGTTTTCTTACTATCTTAGATCATTTTAGTAGAACTACTTGGATATATCCTATACTAGCTAAATCAAACACTACACGTCATTTATTTCAGTTTTTAAACATGATAAACACTCAGCTTGATAAGCCATTAGGTGTATTAGAATCAGTGTTCTAAAACGCGTATAGCGTAATGCGTCGCGTTTTGGTCTTTATACAGCGTAGCGTAAATAGCGTTGCGTGTTGCGTAAACTATTTGAGTATTTTTTTTTTTCATAGAAATATTACAAGTATATTTGCATGTAATAAAAATGAATGGTTGATTACAAAAATTATCATAGTATTTGAATAACTTCAAAAAGAACATCTAAGGATTAGTTATCACAAATGTTTAATGTAAATATCATCATAATATAAATATTTAATAATAAATCAAATATATTAAAAAGTAAAATCAAACAACAAAAACATAATGAGGTAAGTCATAGTATAATTTTAAGTATATGTATTTTAATTATTAATTTTTTATTTAATTACAACTTAATTCTAACCTAGATATAAATTTTTTATTCTTTATTTAAATGTCAAATATCGAAAAATAAAATGATACAACAAAAATGGACCAAACAATATTGCACTATTCAACTTAGGAATTTGCATTTTCAAACGTTTAATTTGAAATCATTATCAATTTTTTTTTAATTGTCGTTTTTAAATATGAGTCGACTGATCCTTAAAAAATATAAGTTTTTGAATATTTTATTGTTCAAATGTCGTTGCACATATATAACGCAATGTAGCGCACAATAGCGTGAAATAACACAAAACAACGTAAGAATGCGTGTCGTTTCAACATTATTCACCAAACTAGTTTTGTTGAAAACCCTCAACAAAATGGTAGAGTTGAATAGGGACGGATCTAGAAATTAATAGTAGGCTGGGCTAGAATTTTAAAAAATAATTTTCATAAAAATCACAAATATTTTTTCATCAAATATTCATTGAAGTTGTGCTCGACGAACTTCTACAAAAAAAAATAAAATAAAAATTCAAATAAAAAATTATTATGCTCATTTTGCACCGTATTTGATGTTTCACTAGTTTGATGTTGATCTCGTTTTCTAAAGAACGATGATATCAATTGTGTTTTTCCTTTTTTGGTCTGGTGTTCTATGTGAATTTCTAAAAGTTTCACAATACAAATAAGTAGATTTTTCCTATGGCATAGTTATTAATTAGAAAAATGAACTACGTACACATCATAATTTATATCCAACTATGATATACAACTACATTAGAGGATAAGAGATTAAACACACACACACACACAAAATTACTGTTTCATACACAATCAACAAAATAAGAATTGCAACCGATGATCCTAGCAATTACTATTAAAACCTTAAATAGCTTAGCAATTACTATTAAAACCTTAAATAGCTAAAGACAATTAGATAAATGATATAAATATCTAATAGAGGGTTTACAAATATAGCTTACTATCAAAGAAGAAATTAAATCGTCTCCATGAAATTAGCCTCTTTCTTGTTGAATTTTTTCTTCTAAATTCATTGTTTTGGTGTTCAGAGGAGAGACATGGTCGTGGTTAATTTATTTAATTGGAGTTTAGTGTATAGTGATGTTTTGTGGGTTGAATAATACTACTTGTACCCTTTGGTGTACCACTTGGTTTACATCCAAATGATACATGTACCAATTTACCCTTAAGCCAAAGGGGTACATGTAGCATGATCCTTTGTGGGTTAGTAGGAAATGGTTGATCAACAATATATATTGTTTGAGTGATATTAGTAGTCTTTGAATTTAATAGATAAGTGAATTATTTTGTTGAGTTAGTAGGTTGGTTTATTGAGTTGGGCTAAAAATATAATATTTTTTTTTTCAAACTAATAGTTGTTAAAAATAATAACATGTCTGGGCTTCAGCCCAGCCCAAGCCTCAAGTAGGTCCGTCCCTGGAGTTGAAAGAAAACATCAACATCTTTTACAAATTTCAAAAGTTCGTGTAGCCTTATAGCTCCGACCAGGTTCCAACTATTGTTTCTAAAGGATAAAAAGAGATTCATAAGAAGGTGGATACCAATGCTGGTAGGGTTAAGCCAAACTTGAATACTAACTTGTCTAAGCCCGAACAAGCGGTGAGCATGTGGTTTAATTCGATGCTTCCATGCTAATCTTCCTTTACAGTATTGGATGGATTGTGTTCTATCTGTTGTTCAGATCATAAACAGAGTACATTCTTCTATCTTGCATAATAAAACTCCTTATGAATTACTCTATTGACAAACCACGTACTTATGATTACCTAAAACCATGGGTTGCCTATGTTATGCTTCTATTTTGCTCTCTCCTAGATCTAAATTTGATCATAGAGCTTTAAAATACATCTTAATCGTATATCAATTAGATTGTAAATGGTATAAACTTTACAACTTCGATACCGACAATATATTAGTTTCCATAAATGCGTTGTGCCTTCTTCGCAACAACCACCATTTCAATTTGATACATCTAACCATACACAACACTACACAATATAACTCATACCTCTGTTGTGCCTTCTTCACAACACGGCACAAGTTAACTCACAGGCTATGTATTCATAATTATACAAAAAAAATCCAAAAAACTACATGGATAACAGAATTATTATTATATATTAATTACAGAGTATGGTGAAAATGTGCAAATCCAAAACATTAAACGTACAAACAAATACAAAACTAATAACACCTCAGATCAAAAAATAAAACAAAATCAAACTTAATCTAAAACAGACACTCAATTTTCCAGTGCCATCGGTGTGACTTGTGAAGGCTCAACATTCAACCCTGGTGGACCCCACCCACCCACCTATCCTGTCCAACACTTTCGGCGTATTCAACTCTCGCCGCGGCGGTCAAAGTCAATACCCTCTCCGACCACCTAAACCGGCGGGCGAGCGTCCCCATCCGGCGAGAACAGGCCGGCCTCGTCCGCGGCCTTCGGTTCCAGGCACTTGAACGACGGCATCTTCATCGGCGTCCGGCTCCCACCGCCTCCACTTCCCTCGCCGGCCTCCGCCCCAACCTTCGGCGACTTCATCGACAGCCCCCTCGAGAAGAATAGCCACCTGTCGGACCTCACTCCCTCCCTCTCGATCCTCAGGTAGGACCTCCCCCGGTTCGACCGCGAGCTACCTCCCCGCGGCAGGCCAGGCGGCGCCACGCAGCTCCCGGTCCGGTTCAGCAGCGCCCGGTCCATAACCTCCCTCCTCACCTGCTCCGGCAGCCTCAGAGTGAACCGCTCCAGGTTCACCCCCGGCTGGACCACCCCGGCCGGCACCGAGTGGCCAGTCGAGTGGGACCGGAACCTCCCCAGACCGAACACCACTTTGGCCCTCGCCAGGCTCGCGCTCCGCCCGGGCCGGCGGCCCTCGTTGTCCACCTGGACTGTGATCTGGGGGTTTTCGGCCGGCGGGGGTGGTGGTGTCGTCGATGAGGGGAGCTGATTATCATCGGCGTCGTCGTCGGCGGCGGCGGCGGAGTGGTCCGGCGTGAGATCGGCCCGGCAGACGGGGCAGGTGACGTGGGAGGCGAGCCAGGCGTCGATGCAGTCCTGGTGGAAGACGTGATCGCAGGTAGGGATGAGGCGGAGGGCCTCGTCGGGCTCGAACTCGTTGAGACAGATGGCGCACTCGAGGGCGCCCTTGCCGATCTTGTGGTCCCGGACCTCCGAGTAGGTGAAGGTCGGGAGGGACTCGAGGGCGGAGGGATCGAGGCCGCGGGGGGCGGCGGCGGCGCGGCGGGAGAAAGCGC